TTAACGTAGGTTTCATATTCGAGAGCTCTGGCCATTGCATTCTGCATGGTAGAGGGGTGTGCTTGTTTCACTTGTATCTTAAGTTGTGGACTGTCCAAGGCATCTACGAACTGATCCCTCAGCAACAACTTGAGGAGATCAGGTGGTGCAGTTGGGTAGGCCTTGTGTGCCATACTTTCCAAGTCCTGTGCCAGCTCTTGCAGGCTCTCCTCTTTAGCACGAACTCTAGTCCTAAACCTAGCCCTGTAGACTTCTGACTGGTTTTGGGTTCCATACCTGAGTTCTAGAGCAGCTACCAGTGCTCTAAAGTTGTACCTGTCGTCTACTGACAACTGTCCAAGTATTTCCAGTGGTTTCCAGGTACACTGCTTTTTGCTCCTCTGTCCATCCATTCATCTCTACCAGGAGCTCAAATTGTGCTCTACATGCTTCCCACAGTGGCTTCCCATCGCATTCCTGTGGCTTCCTTCATACTAGATCACCACTATTGCTGACATTCATATCTGGGATGTGACTTCTAACAGGACTGAAGATGTTTGCATTAGGGTTTAGCTGAGGGGTCTGGAAGGGGCTTCCCGTTGTCTGAGGCTGATTAGGTCAATGACTAGTATATCCTCCTTGTGTAAAAAACAGTAAATCATTCTTTAATGTATTTAATTCAATTTGAAATTTACTAATGTTTTCAATTTGTACTTTTTGCCACTGTTGTTGACTTTCCTGTAGTTGCTGCTGACTTTCCTGCAACTGTTGGAGACTTTCTTCCTGTTTCCTTTCTTGGTGCAGTTGCCACTGCTGTAATCTCTCTTCTTGTTTATTTTCTTTATCCTCCAACAACTGCTGTAATCTCTCTTCTTGTTTCTTATCTTTTTCCTCCAACAACTTCTGTAATCTCTCTTGTTTATTTTGCTGTTCGAGCTGCCACTGTTGCAAATTTCTTGCCACTGCTATTGTCTCTCTTCTTGTTTATTTTCTCGTTCTTCTTGTTTCTTTTCTTTTTCCTCCAACAACTGCTCTAATCTCTCTTGTTTATTTTGCTGTTTCCTTTGTTTTGTGGTTAAAGTGCTCTATTTGCAATCTGTGGGTCGCGGGTTCGAATCCCCGTCATACCAAACATGCTCGCCCTTTTAGCCGTAGGGGTGTTATAATGTTGCGGTCAATCCCGCTATTCGTTGGTAAAAGAGTAGCCCAAGAGTTGGCCATTGGTGATGACTAGCTGCCTACTCTCTAGTCTTACACTGCTAAATTAGGGATGGCTAGCGCAGATAGCCCTCGTGTAGCTTTGCACGAAATCCATAACAAACACAAACAAACATCCTTTGTTTTGTGGAGTGTTTTTTTGTTAAACGTGTCTTGTCTGTGTGTTTTAAGTTCGTTAATATTTTGTGTAACTAATATATAGGAAATTCTGTGATGCAAATAGTGAATGCTAAATTTGGGAAGCTTTTTAGAATGCAATGTCTGATGGATTACATGATTAGAAAAACAGTTCATGTAATTCCCACTGTGTTTCCTGTGAATTTTAGTGCTGAAGATTTGGGGGATTCGTGTGATGTTAACATATTAAAAATTATGGTGTAGTTATTCTCAACTTCTTGATCTTGGTTGAGTTATCATGCAGTTAGAATAATGATTAATAATAAGATCAATGACTGAAAGGAAGTGGTGTTCCTTGCTTTTTTGAGTTATCAGGTGGTATTTCATTTTGTCAGTCGATTATCATAAACTTACAATGATTTGTTGATCACAAAATTAAAGGGAGTGAAAAGTCATTGCAACGATTATATTCTGAGCTACCAGGAAGAGTTTAATTGAGAGAGATATGTATATCTGGTGATATCTGCTTGATTTTCACGAATTAGCTGGTATTAGTAGGTACGATGCCTATCATATCATCAGCTTGTTCAGTTGAGGATGGTTGCTAGGAATTTGTAAACTCAACTGAAAGAGCTTTGCGACTTTTACTTTTCGTTCTGCAGCCCCATCATATGACACTGTCCATAATGTAATAAGAGGTGGCTAAAGAGGATGAGGACTGGTTCAGAAGAAATGGGTGGTCTCAGGAACAGGAAATAGAACACCTGATTCTGAGCTTGGATAGTTTAGCTTTTGATACTGTCAAGCTTCTGTCAGAAGCATAGCTATGGTACTGGGACATGGTCAGCAAAATTGTCTCTCAGTGAATTTGGGTACTCCAGCAAAGAACTGTTGGTTCTCCTCGCCAGATAATAGTTCTGAATACAATATACAATATAGCATAACATTAAAGGACAACAAGGAACCCTTTGGTCTATTTAGGCCATCCCATCCATTAAATCAAATAAAATACTAAAAACTCAAATCTAGCTCTTATCATTTAAATATTTATAAAGCTTCCCCTTAAACTCACTTAAATTGACTGTATCTACCACATCTGAAGGCAACTCATTCCAAAAGCCAACCACTCTGTCAGAAAAATAAAGCTGTCCAATATTCTTACCATACTCACCATTAAATACGAGAAAAGATGATGCATCACTACTATCAATTCTCTTAATAATCTTAAACACCCCAATCATACCTCCTCTAACTCTTCCTCTTTAAAGAGAAAACAAGTCCAAAAATTTTAACCTATCCTTGAATGACAACCTTTCCATCCCAGATATCATCCAAGTAGTTCTTCTCTGAATCCTTTCCAACAATTCAAGTGTGACCTAACCAATGACCTGTACAATGACATTAATAAACCAGAATGCTCATGTTTGATGGAAAATGGTGCTCTCTGTTGCAAAGATACCACAATGTCCACAAATCTAACTAGAGTGATTGAAAACTGTAATGGACAATGCCCATCAATTTGTGTACCGGAGACTAGGAATGCCTATTATCCATTGACTTTTGAGATCCAGTGAGGAATGTGAAAAAAACAGCAGTTTATGTGATTTTTATCATAAATTTTAGACTTATTGGTGTCTAATGCTTGAACAGCTTTCGGCATTTAAACTATAACTTTAAAGTATTATACTGCATATATGAATAGTATTTTAGAGAATCCTTTCTACCTTATCTCCTTATCAGTTTGGAAGACAAAAGATAGATTTATGCTAGATATACACGACTGTTTGAGTTTCAGTTTAATGCAAGTGTTATGATTTAGATAGTTTATATAGCGTGAGTGTTAAATTTAGTTATTTTTAGAAGTGACAGTTTATCCCAAGTTTGTTTACATAATTGCTTATGAATCATATGTTGTTTAGTTCAATAGTTATAAATTGGTTATTATTATATAACTGCATCATGTTACGAGAACCTTCTGAGTTTTTCTTGTTGTTTTAATTGATTATTGTTGCATCATAATATCTAGTAGTATGTGAAATGTTTTAGACCTCTGTTGGAGTATAAATACACGTCGAAATGTAGTTTGAAAGCTAGATCTAGACTGCATGACTGTGAGCTTAGCCATAAAGAGCATAGGGGCGATTTTTAAAGCGAAATTATCACATGTTGTATTGTAATAACAGTGTAGAGAATAATAATTCATCTTGTCAATTATATTCTAATGTAAATGAATCAGCCTGTGTGGACTTTGACAAAAAAGAAGATAATTATTTAAAGCTCTGGATACAAGAGTGATAACCAACAGTGTCACAAACATTTCTGTATACGTTTACTTGTTTTAATATATTATTTTAAAACAAGTGGACTGTGTTCTGTTTGTTTATTGTTGAAATTTATCACCAACAAGTCACAGACACCTACTGTAAAGAATCCAGCCCAAGCATAAAGCCTGACAGTGATGAGCCACCCAGGGTATACAATGGTAGAAGTAGATGTAAGCAACAGTAGAAAATAGGCCTATATTCACATAGCTTTAGTGGTAGTAAATATAGTGTATAGGCCACAACCACACTATATAACCATGTCGACTAACTTTGATAAGTGGGTATAGAGGGGCGATGGACTTGGGCTCAAAAATAGCAATGTACGAGAATTTTTTAAACACCAACAAGATCTCAAGAGAGAAGTGCATCAACAGAAGAGAGAGGCGGAGAGGCAGAAAGAGAGGAAGAAAAGGTGAGAGAGGAGAGACTGTAAATAGAATAAGAGCACAAATTGAGATTGTCAAGCTCACCAAACAGAAAAAATTAAGAACCCAGGAATAACAATGGGATCAGGGCCAGCTAACTCAAGCTGCCCAAATTTGATAAACATAAAGACGACATGGATGCTTTCCTGAAGAGGTATGAAAGATTCATCCAAAGTCAGAACTGGGACACAGGCAACTGAACAGTTTGTCTCAGCATCTTTCTCACAGGAATAGGCCTAAAAGTGTATAGGGCATGTCTTGCTGAAATGTTATGAACTTACTGAGTAAGATTTTTGCAGGAAGTAGAGAGAAGTCAAACCTGACACTGGAGAAATTATATTTCAGTTTATGGCACATCTATGGTGATACTTCTCAAGGTGGACTGACATGGCTAACTGTGAAGATAGTTATGAAGGATTGGCAGATCTATTAATACGTGAACAGTTCATGATCATGTTCTCCACTGAAATGTCATTGTTCCTAAAAGAGAGAGCAACAAAAGAATGGACGAAATGATCAAATTGGCAGAACAGTATATGGAGAGAGTATAACTGGCAAGTCCAAGAATAACCAGTCAAAGTCAAAACCAAGGGTGGCTGACCAGAGGCAGAATGCCACCAAAGATGAAAAAAGTTAACAGACAAAATAGGAGAAGAGATGCTATGCTTATTATAAAATGGGACACATTACAAGTGGGTGCAAGTCTGTTACCAACAAGCAACAGCAGAAACATCAACATAAAGCAGCTGGAGCTACCTACAAATATGATACTGGCAATAAACAAGAAAAGAGTGACTGTCACCATGAATGCTGCTTCCAGAAGAAACAGAATGAAGACAACTTGTCAGATTCACCACAAGAAGAAAGTGTTATCATCATGATTGAACAGTGCATGATTGATGGTCAGCTCAAGTTAGCAAATGAATCAATGGTGTTAGTGGTTATCAGAGCATGTGACAAACATCAAAAAGAGCCAACAAATCACAACATGCCAGTAGGTGAAGGCTAAGTTGGGGACAAGAAAGTGAAAGTCATACGAGATACTGGGTGCACCAGTGTAGTAGTGAGAAGCATTCTAGTATCTGATGACCAGATGACAGGCAAGGTACATCTCTATATGCTGATTGATGGGACAGAGAGAGAAAGTTTCCCATAGCAAGAATAAATGTGGACATTCCATTCTATGTGGAAGACCTTAAGGCCATGTATGTGAATGCAGTCATCTATGACTTAGTGATTGACAATATACGAGGCAGTAGAAGTTTGGAGGAACCAGACAGAAATGTGAATGATGAGGCATTTGTAGTCCCCACAACAGCTCAGGAAAAGAAAAGCAAGCAAGACATCAAATCCCTGCAAGTCTCAAAAGGTGACATCCCGAATGTAGATCTACAGGAACTGAAGGTAGCATAGAATAAAGACCCTATAAAACGTACAAAGATGTCAAGAACTGGCTGGAATGCAGAAGAAAGAGCTACAAGATCTACTCTGCTAGTATGCAGATGTCTTTACAGATAAACCAGGCAAAACAGACCTTGTGCATCACAAAGGCGAGACCATGATCAAGTATCCAGTCAAGGTGAAGTCCTGACCAAGCAATTACTGTTAGAAGCTGGAATTATTGAGCCTTCCAATTCAGCTTACTGTTCACCAGTGGTAAGAAGATGGATGGCTCAGACTGCTTCTGCATAGATTTCTGGAAGCTGAACCTCATTAAGAAGTTTGACTCCAAACCTATGGGCAACCCAGAGGCTATCATGGCAAAACTAGATTGGGTCAAGTTATTTACCAAGATCACACTCAGTAAAGGTTATTGGCAGATCCTGATGAAGACAGGATCTAAGGAGAAAACAGCCTTTGTGACATAAAATGGATGCTACCAGTTCAAGAGAATGCTGTTTGGATTAATCAACTTAGCAGGAACATTCAACCACATGATGAGAAAGCTGTTGCACAAAACCACCAACATTGAGCATTATGTGGACGACATTCTGACCTACACAGCTAGGTAGGAAGGCCACCTGATGATACTAAGAGAGCTGTTCAGAAGAGTAATGGCAGCAGGTCTGACCCTCAGACCTTCTAAGTGCTGCATTGTTTGGACACAAGGTGAGCAACAGACAAATAACCATGGAAAAGGAGAATCTAACCAACATACAAGTTGCAACAGCTCTGATGACCAAGCTAGATATTTCCTAGGGTTAGTGGGATACTATAGGAAGTTCATCCCAAAATATGCTGAAGTTATTGCACCACTGACTGACCTGACCAAGAAAAGCCAACCTAACAAGGTGAAATGGGAACAGTCATAGCAGATGGCATTCCAGATATTGAAGAACATGCTAGGAAGTTTGCCAATCCCTAGAATGCCAGATTTCAACAAACTGTTCATCACTCAGGCCAATGCATCACATGTTGGAATTAGGGCAGTACTCCTGTAAGAACATAAAGACAGACTGTTTACAGTAATGTATGTCAGTAAAAAACTCTTTTAGTAGTGAGAAGAACTACTCTGTGATTAAACATGAGTGTCTGGCCGACATATTTTCTATCCAAAAATTCGAGAACTACCTCTATGGGAAGGAATTCATCATCCATACAGACCATCAGCCACTTCCATACATCCATAGGTGCAAAATCAACAGTGTGAGGATCATAAGGTGGGTGTTGTACCTCAAGAACCACTGGTTCCACATTGAGGCCATCATGGGAACTGCAAATGTGGGTGTGGATTGTATGAGTAGACTATGTGCATGAGCAGAAAACAGTCTTTGGATATAGTATAAAAATATTGTAAATATTTTTCTTAAGGAGAGCTTATTGTTAGGTATACATGACTGTTTCCAGTGTTATGATTTAAATAGTTTATATAGCACAAGTGTTAAATTTACTTATTTATAGAAGCAACAGTTTATCACAAATTTGTTTACATAATTGTTTATGAATCATATATTGTGTAGTTCAATAGTTATAAACGTTGTGTCATGTTACTCGAACAATTCTGGATTTTTATTATTGTTTTAATTGAGTATTATTGCATCATAAATTCTAGTTGTGTATAGAACGTTCTAGACCTCTGTCAGGGTATAAATATGACTCAAAAATGCAGTTTGAAAGCTAGATCTGGACTGCTTGATTGTGAGCTTAGCCATGAAGAGCATATAATGGCGATTTTTAAAGAGAATTTGTCACAGATTGTACTGTAATAACAGAGAAGAGAAGAATAATTCATCTTGTCAGTCGGGTTCTAAAGTAATTGAATCGCCCCCCCCCCCAGTGGCACAGCGGTATGTCTGCAGACTTACAACGCTAAAAACGGGTTTCGATACTCGTGGCGGGCAGAGCACAGATAGCCCATTGTGTAGCTTTGTGCTTAATTCTAAACAAACAAAGAAACAAGTAATTGAACCATCCTGTGTGGACTTTGACGAAAACGAGATAATTATTTAAAACTCTGGAAACAACTGTGGTCACCAACAGTTACAATGGTGATTTTAAAGTGAAATTATCACAGATTGTATTGTACTAACAGGGCAGGAAGCATAATTCGTCTTGTCAAATCGTTTTATAAAGTAACTGAACCAGCCTGTGCGGTCTTTGATTTAAAAAAAAAAAGAGAGAGACCATTATTTAAAGCTCTGGATACAACTGTAATAACTTACAGTGTAAAGAATGTTTGTATTTACGTTTTACTTGTTTTAATATATTATTTTAAAACAAATGACCTGTGTGCTATTTGTTTATTCTTGAAATTTATCGCCAACAAATCACAGACACTTACTGTAAATAATCCGATCCATACATGAAGCCTAGCATTCAGAAATGTTCTTTTTATATGACTCTGATTTTTAATCCGAAATATACGAATGATGAGGATTGTGAGAAAATTTCAGATTGCGTGATTTTTATCATAAATTTTAGGTCATATGCTCCATTTTTTGAGATTTATAACATATTTCTACTGTGAAATGTTAATTATGCTTCAAATGTTTTACTTCCAACAGATGGCACAATTTTACTATGGCGAAATATGGTAAATGAACATAAGCACAGGAAGGGATTCACATATTTAAAATTAATTCCTGTCTGCAGAAAATAAAAACTGCTATTGTCACGAGACTCAAGAAATGAGTAAATTATCAGATTCGTTAAACGTTGAAGACTCGTGTCTTAATTTAACAGAGGTAAGAACTTACACTCGAAGCTAGAGTCAGAGGTGTTGTGCCGTAAAATCTAATCTCCCGTCCAATTTCTAAATCGTAACCGGGGGATGAGATTTCGCAGCTTTAATAAGCTGGGGAATTCTATCCCCCGTCTAGATTACATCCCATTGTATTCTTTACTAAATATTTTTTGCTAACTTTGTTCATTTCACTTTTTATTTTAAACAAACATATTTCGTAAGTGTTATTTCATGTAATATAAACGGCCTACTTCTCTGTATTACCAATAATTATTTATTACTTTTCATATTTATAAGCCTACCTGAACAAATGATTTATACTAATAGTAATAATATTAACTAATTACAGCTTTCAGTTTAGTATTAGTAAACTAAAAGCATGCAAAATGTAACATTTTCGTTGGTTAAAACTTTTTTTAATTAAAAATAAAATGAAAGTATCAACTCGTTATTTAATTTTATGTAACAGAATGAGTAGAAAGAAGTTCTTATAAAAATATCGCCCAAAAAGTAAAAGTAAAAATTTGTAACTTACGTAAGAGATTTAGTTGTTGATACTATAGTAGTACTTGGCTTACTAATTTGTATTGTTAGTATTACTATTAATATTTTGAACAGGGAATTTATAGCTTAGAATTCATTAGTTTATGGTTTTATCATCATATGTTATGACTTTTAATTCTATACCTTCGTGGCTAGTTCTATTAATTAATGTGTGTTATTAAGAAGCATTAACAGTAACACTCCAAATTAGAAACTTCCTGAACCTAAGACTTTGGTGTAAAGAGTAAAGTTATCTTTGATTTTGACTTTTCATTTTAACATGTTATTTTTAGTCTTTACTATTCTTTTGTTTATTTCATAATCTTATGTCTTTGTACATTCGTTGCAAGTCAAAACTTAACTACTCTTAGCTAAAAGTAAATATAAAATTTAAAATTGTACTTTTTAAGTACATTAATTAAACAGTTAATTTATAATTGTGCATTGCTTTGTAATATATACTTGTATGTCTGCAGTTGAGTCTGTCTTAATTCATTTTTTGCACTTATTTTTGTTTCATTGCAAATTTAACTTTTAAGATGCTTATACTAAGTTATAGTTATATGGAAAGACTGAAACAGGTATTTGTAGACTGCATACCACAACACATTCAGACTGTTATGAATGTGCTGACATGATACTGTTGCAATTTGTATATTTTTGGCATTTTAATTTGTTTTTTAGCTAGAGGTAGCTCTGTATTTCAATGAAAGTGATAAAATTGGAAGAGTTAACAGGCTTACAATTCCAGAAAACTGTTAACTTAAGGCTGTGACTTAAGGTCTCTACATATTTAGAATTACATTTCAAATATGAAATTGTTCTGAAGAAAGATTGATTTTCAAGATAGAGAGTAAATCAGTCAGGGTGCAAACTATCACAGTTTCCTTGAACAAGTTGACTTTAGTTAATCAATCACTTAATGTAATTTGTAATGTAGGCCTACAGCACATTTAAAGCATTACATAATGTCTAGTTTTAAGAAAAGTTAGAGAAGGAAATCAACTCATTCGTTATACTTTGCATGAACTATACTTCATATTATTTTCACCATAACTTACAACTTGACACCAAAAAAAATATGCTACAGTACTATTAACATTTATATTAATTTGTCCAGGCATATATACCTGAAAGAAGTTTCTTTGTGATTTTTTGTCATTTGAAACAATCTTTTAAACATAAATTATTTCAAGCTTTAAATGGACTGAATGAAAGTTTAATTAAACTTATATGGAGAACTAAATTAATTTATATTTTTATGATTTTTCAAATGTAAAAGGTAATAACAAAATTGATGTTTTTTAAGTAGATGTGCACTAGTTTTTAAAATTTCAGCAGAGGAATAAGTAGTGAAAGATGTTTAAAGTGACTTAAACAGCATTTTATTTTAACTGGTCTGTTTTATCTATTAAGAAAAATAAATACAATAACCATCATCAAGATATTAAGTTAATTGAAATTATCAAATTTAACAGAGTTAAACATGCTCTATCAACATACTCAGTCCAGCAACTGAGGGGTGTCATCTGTAACATCTAGACCTTAAGAAACATGTTCTGTGCATGAAATTGTTTAAACTGATAAGCATAGAAAGTAAGGGAACAAAAGGTCATCTTCTTGTTACTTATTCTCTCTCAGATAAGTTCATTCTATTGTGGTAGGTCCAGAGCAATTTTATCCTGTTTAAAGTTCCATTGAGATGACAAATAGAACATTATGTTAAACTGATATTTGAGCCACAAAGATGTTAAATGTATGATTTGTTAAAAATCCTGAAGTGATTCTTCTTTAAATACTTAATATTTTCAAAATGTGGGAAGTTCCAATTTACAGTACTGTGTATTCATTCCAAAATAGTTACACATAATTCACTCATTTTGACCATTTCTTGTAGATACTTTAATCATTTTACTATAGTTATTTGATTGAATAAAATATACGCAGGGCTTGAAATGTGTTTTGAATTCAGAATTTAGAGATTAAACAAACTTGGAGGCTGGTATTGACCACTAGCAAACTTATAAGAGGTAGTATGGATTTAAAAACTTTATCATAGAAGTATTCTGTCTGAGTAAGATACCCAATATTATGGGAAAAATTTATAAAAGATATATGTGGAAGATTAGGAATAAAACGTTAAGATTTTATTTAACATAATTGCAGAACTATATACACTCGATGTTTATAGGAAATAAGGTAAAATAACAAGCTTCTGTTTTCACAATTAAAAGTGATATGTTGATATTCTATACATTAATTGTTTGTAAAAAGCATCGTAGTAATGTTTTAGATGTTTTTTCATAAATTGTTTAAATATGTATTAAGGTTTCATGTTAAGAGTAGCCAGTGATGCCCCACTTACACAATAATCTAATAACTCACAAATTACCACTGTTAAAGAGAATTCATTTTATTTAGTTTAGTTCACTTATATGATGATGTGATTGTATAAAAATAGAAAGGCATAAAACATTGTAGATATGTTTCATTTTTATCTTGTATGCAAAACAAAAATGACAAGTAAATTTTTAAAATGGCCTCCACTCTCCCGTTTCTGCCATCTTATCCTCTCACATAATTATTTTCTGTTTATTATGATGTCAGAGAACTAAAAATTACACAAACAGAAAAAAGCAAAATGATCAAATTAAAAAAGGTATTTTTAAAGGGACAAAAAGGAGCTTATTAGCCCATCAAGGATGTCCCTTCTGGCTCCCAACTATATCCACTCCTTACTACTCATATATTCATTCAATCTTTTCTCGAACTCAATTAAAGTTTCTGCCTCCACCACCCTTGAAAGCAGCTCATTCCAAAAGCCAACCATCCTGTTTGAAAAGTAATACTGTCTAAACTGCAGACAATTTCTATGCTGCTAAAAATTTGAATTTTTTTTTCCTCTCCAGAAAAAAACAAGTTTAGAGATTTGAGTCTCTCCTCTTAGGACAATCCCACCATCCTAGGTATCATCCTAGTGGCTCTTCTCTGAACCTTCTCTAACAATTCAGTGTCCTTCTTGAGGAAGGGAGCCTAAAACTATACACAGTACTCTAAATGAGGCATTACAAATGATCTATACAGTGAAACAATAATATCCCTTGTATTCAGTGTTTCTATAGATACTTCCCAAAATCCTATTAGCCCTATTGCTAGCTACAATACACTGTTTAGATGACTTAAGTAATTTTTCAATTACAACACCAAGAGTATTTTCTTCAACCACAGTATTTAATGTATTCCTATTTAAATTGTAACAATTATTTAAATTGTGAAAACTTAAATGCATCACCTTACTTTTTGGATAGTTAAACATCATCTGTCATGTATTGGCCCAATGCATCAAATGATCTAAATCTCCCTGTAAGTCTTTAGCATCTTTGATACAGTTAGCTACACCAAAAATTTTAATGTCATCTGCAAACTTCAAAATTTTGTTAGTCTTTCCAGAATCAATATCATTAATATAAATCACAAACAGCAGATGACCCAGCACAGAGCCGTGAGGCACACTACTTGTAACTGTGATCCAGTCGTATCTAACTCCATATATTACTACTCTCTGCTTTCTACTCTCCAGCCAATTTTCTATCCAATTTAATAACATTTCTCCCACACCCACATATTTAATTTTTGTAACAAGTCTGTTGTGAGGCATCTTATCAACCACTTTCTGAAAATCAAGGTAAACCAAATCCAGAGTATTTCCTTCATCAACTCTTGCAGTAACATCCTCAAAGAATGTAAGAAGATTTGTTAAACAAGACTTTCCCTCAGTGAAACCATGCTTGCTCTTTGACACTATATCAAACTGTTTTCAGTGACTGCAATGCATCTTTAATCACACTCTCCAAAACCTTTCCAACTACTGATGTAAGACTAACTGGCCTATAATTGCCTGGACAATTTATCACCTCCTTTAAATATTGGACTAACATTAGCCAACTTCCAATCTTCTAATATTCTTTCACTACTCAATGACCTATAAAAAATATTAGCTAGCGGTTCACAAATAAAATCTTTAAGATCCTTTAAAACCCTAGGATAAAAGTTGTCTAGTCCAGGGAATTTATCAATTTTTAGGATTCCCAACTTTACTCTTACAATTTCAGAACTTAAAATGATATCTTCTACATCAATATTTTTCCCATACATTAAGTGCTGTGGTTGAGGCATAATACTTGTATCTTCCTTTGTTAGAATTGAAGAGAACATATAATTTAATAAGTTTACCAT